TGTTTTGAGGAACAAATTGTTTTCCACAATGGCTGAACCATTTTCCATGCCCGCACAATGTACGAGGGTTCCAATTTTGTGACATCTTCACCAATGCTTATTTTCCATTTTTTAAATTATAGTTATTCTTTGTCTTTAATCTTTGGAGAAATGTCTATTCAAGTTATTTGCCCATTTTTAAGTTGAGTTCTTTGTCTTTTTGTAAGAGTTCTTTATGTATTCTTTATAAATGATTTGGAAATATTTTCTCCAATTTCTGGATAATGTCTGCCGAAGCACAAAAGTGTTTTTTTGTGTGTGTCCTCATAAATGTTTATTGAGCCACTCTGAAATCTGTACCAACTGTCCGTGTTTTCTCTCCCAGAGAAGTCTGCACATTTTTCATTTTGCATTTTGAGTTCATAACAGTTGACAACATTGTGAAATTTCAGTTGTACATTATTATTTGTCAGTCACCATATAAGTGCTCCCTTTCACCCTTTGTGCCCACCCTTCACAAAAGTTTTTAATTTTGATGAAGTCTAATTTATTTTTTTTCTGTTGCTTTTTCTTTTGGTGTCATATCTAGGAATCCATTGCCAAACCTCAGGTCATGAAGATTTACCTCTGTATTTTCTTCTAAGAGTTTTATGGTTTTAGCTTTTATATTTAGGTCATTGATCCCTTTTGAGTTAATTTATGTATAGTAGTGTGAGGTAGGGATCCAACTTCATTCTTTTACATGTGGATATTCAGTTGTCACAGCACAATTAATTGTGCTTTGCATACTTTTGTAATGCATAAAATGGAAATCATATAGTATGTATTTTTTGTGTCTCATTTCTTTTGCTCAGCATAATTTTTGTGGGATTCATTCATATTGTTGCATGAAGTTGTAGATCATTTGTTCTTATTGCTGTATAGCATTTCAATGCCTTAATTTATATCATTAATTTGCCTATCATACTGTTGATGGGCATTTGGGTAATTTCCAACTTTGGGCTATTGTGAACAGTGCTGCTGTAAATATGCTAGAACTTGTCTTTGGTGAATATATGTATGCATTTCTGTTGGGTGTACTCCTAGAAGTGGAGTTGCTAGGCTTTAGGGCATTCTTATCTTCAGCATAAGATACTGTCATAGCATCTTTTTAATCAGGAAAGAACTGAAGGTTTATTTTAATACCTCTCTTTACAAATAGATATCCTACCTATTTTTATCAATATGGGAATAAGGCAATGGAAAAGGCAGGTATGTGAAAACTGTGTGAACTAGAAATAAACCTAACAGTTTCCTACTAAGTGCTTTAATTGCTAGCCCAAGGTTCCCCTCACTGTGGACTATGCCTCTTCATTCTACAAACCAATGCTGCTTCTTTCCAAAGATGGAAAAATGATGCTTGCAAAAACAGCAGCTCTAAAGATAAACTGGAATGGTTTAAATACCCTCCACCCCTTACCTCACATAAACTCTAGCTTAATGTCCGGAAGTTTCCAGATTATCCATCACGGAATCCCTAACCATAAGAAATGGAAAGGTCCTTAGAAACCTAAAGTTCTACACTGTCATTTTACAAATGGGAAGTCTGAGGACCAGAAAGAAGAAATTTTCTCTAGCTAGTGGGAATACTTGAACAAACTCCTCCCATTTTTCTTTGATAAGGAGAAAGGATAGCACAAGGAGGGGAAAAAGCATGGGTTTGGAATCTGACATGCCTGGGCTAAAATCCTGGCTCTGCCCCTTATTACCTGTATAATTTTGGGCAAGGTACTTCATCTTTCTGGATCTTGATATCCTCATCCATAAAATGACCTTAAAGATATGTGTTTATCGCATTGCTGTTAGGATTAAAGAATGGATAAAGGGGAATTTCTCTGTAAATTGATCTATTTTTTAAATATTATGATAAGGGTTGTCTTTCCACCTTAACTGGTCAGTAGAGGACAGGGTAGCTAGAGAAGTGCCCATAACCTGTTTCCCCCATATGTTTAGGACATGACCAGTGCCATTCCAAAAACCAAGACTCTGCTGTCATGAAAGGCAACTTCTGGCAAAAATACTCACTTAGCATCAGCTGTGGTACAAATTAATAACTTGTTTGAGGGTATCAGGATAGTGCAAAGATGATCACGTCACTAATAAAGTTAGGCAAGAGTCATCCTGATCAAGGAGATCTTACTGGCCAGGAAGGCAGAAGTGGGGCTCTATGGCTGACATGATATGTACCCCTGGAGAATCTCCTTCCCAACCCAATCTTCAGTTTATCATTTGACAAATAAAGAAATTCTGCTAAACACAGAAAAGCAAATATAACATTTGTACTGCCACTGACTTTTCCATTTCTATGGTAGGCAGCTATGGATGAGGAAACAAGTTCAGAGAGATAAGATGACTTTCCCAAGGTCACATTACCCTTTCCCTGGTAGTCTGGATGCATTATAAAAACCTTTCTCAACCTAGCATTGGGATCACTACCAGTCAATCTATGTTGTGATTAAGTTGAAACAATTGCCATCCCTGGAGTATTTAAATAATAGTGGTTTTGGCTCAGACAGACTTAAGGTAGTTATGAGAAGAGAGAACCAGTGAAATGTGGTACTTACACCTTAAAAAGACTAGGACTTGATTTTTGGGGCCACTCACTATGAAAAATCACTTAAACTCTGAGCTTCAGTTTGTCTCATCTGTAAAAATGGGACTCATGATGCCTATATCACAATATTTTTGTAAGAGTTAAAAGAAAAGCTAATCTACTTCCTTATCTTAAAGAAAGTTGTCACAGCACAATTAATTGTGCTTTGCATACTTTTGTAATGCATAAAATGGAAGTCATATAGTATGTACTTTTTGTGTCTTATTTCTTTTGCTCAGCCCCACCCCCACTCTTGTTGTTCCTCTTTTCCAGTAGAAGCTAAAAAGTAGAATAATACTGAGTTTAACTTTTTCCTTGTCTTTACTCTGGACCTGTTCAATCTCTTGGGCGTGTAACTGAGATTTATCATTTCACCGAGATTGAAGCAAGTTTAATACACTGCAGAACTTCAGTCTTGGTGATGTAAAAACTGATGCACATTTTCTCCATGTCAATACTGGAGAGCTGGGCTGGGTGTACTGAATTCCCTCCCCCTACCACCCCTCTTGCTGCAGAGTGCAGCGTGCAATGGGAGTCATATTTAGCCAAGGTTGGGGTGGAGAAATGGGGGAGGCCAAAGGAGTAACAATCAACATCGGCTGAGCATCTACCATATAACAGCCCCCTGCTGGGTGCTTTACTTAAATTACGGCACATTTTCCTTAGGACAGCCCATTTAAGACGGAAATGATGAATTCCATTCTATAGATCTATAGATGAGGCTACTGAAAAACAGATAGAGAGCTGCCCAGGATAACACTGCATTTAAATGACAGATCCCAGATCCCATCTGACTCTATCCTGACCCATTCCCCAAAGCCTTCCTCTCTCATCTTAAGACCTCATCATGATGAAATCACTAAGGGGTCATCAGAAATGGTACTTGAATTTCCAGACTTACACATCTGATCACATGGTTTTGGGTTTTTATATTTTCCTGATAGCTGATCCTAGAAGATAGCTAGATTTCCCTGTCCCAGATTTTATTATTTAAAAAGAAATCTAATGGGAACTCTTTCTCTTCAATTTTTCTGTAAACTCAAAACTTCTCTAAAAAGTAAAGTCTATTAATTAAAAAAATCTAAAATCAGTGAATAGCAGTGACGTACAATGATTTTCTAGAATCATAGAATCTTAGACACTAAAGACCATTTTGTCCAATCTCATCATTTAATAGAACGGAGAAAAATACTCTGTCCACCCACTGCCAACACTTTCATCCAAACAGCCATCCTTTCTTTCCTGAACCAAAAATATTCTCTACTCCCTACATCTTCTCCTGTCTCCCTCCATTTTCTCTTTCATACTGCCATATGAAGGATCTTTCTCAACCACAGATCTGACTATGTAAATCCCTTTCTGAAAAGCCATTCAGTGTTTCCACATTGCTGTTAAGATAAAGCCTGAAATCCTCAATTTGGCACATGATAAGCTCTCCATCCTCTCGTCAGTCCACCATCACCCTCTCTTTCTGCTTTCTCAGGGCACTGGCCTTTTATTCCGTTTCTCAAGAGTGTCATGTTCTTTCTTACTTAGGATGTTGCACTTGCTAGTCCCATTTGCTTAAATGTATCACCTGCCTTTTTCTCATTGCCAATTCTTCCTGTCTTAGCAAAGGGAAGTGACTTACCCCAGGTCACAAAGGATAGACAGTACTTGAATGTAAATTCTTAACCTGTGCTTCTGTACAGCACTGCTGTTTTCCACCTCAAATCACATTCCTGTAAAGAGTTTAAAACTTTCATCCAAAGAAGCAAGGCTTCTCCTGGGTTGAAGGCTCCGGAGGCTGTGTTTTTGTCCCAGGTTCTTATTCCTGGCACTAAATGTGAAGAACTGGGTAGATTTACCAATGCCAGTACAGCCTGATAGATTGTTGCCCCTATATTTTTATTTTTTTAATTTGAAGACCATATTCCTTGGTTAGACAGACTCTAAAACTTGGACGATAAATATAAATAGATCTAAATACAGAATGTTTCTGCTTGTTTTGAAATGAAAAAGGTGTCATTTTCCCATTTGACATGTTAAGCAACTAAAGCGCAGTGAACTTTTCTGTTAGAGTGTGTGTGTGTGTGTGTGTGTGTGTGTGTGTGTATGTGTGTTAGGGTTGGAGGAGGAGGGGAGAAGACCCTAGAACTAGTACATTCTATCTTCCAAGAGGAATTCCTTTGCCCTATGACTTCCTGTCTCTGCAGACAAAACCAAGGAGTCCAAAAAGCCATATTAAGACTTTCTCTCTCAATCTTCCTGTTTGGGAAATATTTACCTCTTTTCATGAAACTATTGTCTACATCTTGTTTCAGTCCTCACAGTGAATTGAATAGAACTGAGTAAAACATTCTCTTTAATCATTTACCTTACTTTGGAAATAATCAGTTATCTGGCAGAATTTAGCAATGACTTTTATTTTATTTATTTATATTTTTCATGCCCTCCCTTGTGTCTCTCACCGGTTTGTATTTGTAAAGAGTCCAAAAACCCTGTTTGGGTAGTTCTTGACTTCCCAACCCCTGCCCTTTTATGCAATTCACATTGATATTCCCAAACTGCCCTTTTGTGCAAAATTCAACATTCAAGTATCAGCAGATAAACACATATTTTGACCTGTCTTATGGTGGTACTGGCAGCCAACAGCCGAGTGCACAGTGCCAGTAACTACTCCATGGCAATGCCTGTGCAAGCGAATGCTTTAGTGCATCTTATTTTTATTCTTTTAACAATTAAGTAGATATCAGAAAAATTAGTGTATTATTAATACTTGTTGTAAGCAGCCCCTGTCTCATAATAATCATAACAAGAGTTAATATAACCTGTGTTCTGACATCGTTCTGAAAACTTTGCATTATCTTATTTAATTCTACCAGCAACTTCATGAGGTGGGTACTTTTAATTTCCATTTTGCAAATGGGAAAAACCAAATCTTAAAGCAATTAAATAACTTTCCAAAGATCACATAGCTACTAAGTGGTGATAAGATGAAATTTTATCATCTAATTTGATCTAATAGGCAGATCGAAAACAGCAAAACCTCAGTCTCAGCTACATGTTCGTGTGATGAACTAGATGACTCAGTGTTCAATTATAAAGAAAAACATGGAAGTAAAGAATATGCTGGAAATATGTTGTTGAAGATAGCATCCAAAAGGCTAGGTGTAACTGCAAGTGATATTCATTTCAGCTCTCTGAAAACTGAACTTTCTTATAACATGTAAAAATGTTTTCCAGCTTTGCATATGCAAAATGTAGACACTTTTCAGGAATTATTTATGTAAAATATTGGGTGTATATTGCATTCAACCTCATGCTACCTTGATCTTCTAATTCTAGGCCCTGGGGTTCTCTTCCATTCTAGTGTGTCTATATGAGAATCCTTTAGATTTCCACAACACACAAAAATCATACCACCACATATTGAAGCATACAAGCTATTATATATTTTCATAATATAGAATTTTAAGGTATAGTAATCAACAGTGGCAAAATATTTCTGTCTTTGACATCATTTTTTTTGTGTGTGAGATCCAACCTGTAATTGAGACCAGAGAAAACAGTATGGAAAAACAAATCCATGAGAACAGGATAAAAATATCATGAACAGCAAAATATGTCTGAGTATTTAAAACTGTATAGAAAAAATAAATTAGATGAACAATTGTGTAAATATAAATTAAAAAAGATGACATTCTTAATAAATAAAGTTTACTATTTACATTTTTATATATTGCTGAAAGACTTAACTTAGATCCATAAAAACACATAAACAGGAAAAAAAATAAAACCCAAAATAGGAGCAGCAAATTTATGCGCGTGAGGTACAGAAAAAGGATTGGAATTGTGTTTTGTTTTTGGTCTTTAGACTGTTTTCTTTCTTTTTTTTTTTTTTTCCTTTTTTTATAGTAGGCCAGTAGAATTCTCATGAGAACAGAGTTTAAGCACTTCAATGGAGAGTCATTTTTTGGTAGTTTCCAGAAGGTGCCAAACAGATGTCAACATCATAATAATTAGAAATACCTATAATAATTATAACAATAATAAAAAGGTATAATATGATACATAAATATGGAAGAGCAGTTTGTAATATGAATACATTTTCTCTAGACGAGATCACAGTTTTATTTTGTAAATATTACATTTAAGTATATATATACACACATATATGTACAACTATATATACATGTGCATATATATGTAAATTTATATTTATATATAATATCTTTATATAGATAGATATCTGCGGACAGGTTTTTGATTATAGAGACCCAAGAAAGCAACTCAATAATTGTTCAAAATTCTCCTCACTGACTGCTGGTGTATAATTTAAGGAGCCCAGAGTTGTTTGCACTCAGAATGCCGTATCTTCTTTTAATTGAACACTTGATGCAGAATTTTAAGTGTGAGAAGAAGAAGACATTTAGGGACTCCCTTCCTCTATAAAGTTGGAAATGGCCCGGAAGTCTTGAATAGACAACAGTAAACTGACTTTTACCCTGTAGGAAGTAATTGGCTTTTAATCAAATTATAGAACTGGTGAAAGGCCAGAATAATGGGGGAAAAATCCAATTTACCTACGAATGAAATATTCCCAAATACAAGCCTCTCTCTTAAAGTGGATTATAATCCAGGAGCTCCAGCATCATTCCTTGAAACATCCAATGAGCACTCCCTGTCTTTCTTAAATGGCCAATGGACCTGTGCATTCTTGAAAAATAACCCATAGACTTGTGTCAAGCCTTGGCTCTCACAGATTGCCACAGCCCCTTTCAACCCCCAGGGCCTCACAATCCTCTGCCCTCCCACTGTGAGGTAGGTAAGTAGTATTATCCCCATTTTGCAGCTGGAGAAACTGAGGCAAATGGAGTGGCAACTCGATGACTTGTTGTTCAAGATCACTGAGCAAACTGCTGCCTGGAGTCAAGAATTCTATTTTCTTACTCTAGGGACATAATTTCTCTCTTGGCTATTATAAATCTCTTTTAAAGATCAAATGATTGGTAGGAATTTGGCAAAACTTGAAAATTCAAAGAATAGGCTGTTATTCAATTGCTGTTTAGTTTTTATGTTTGCTGTTTGCTTGTTTTGTTTTGTTTCTCAAAAATCATGGGAATTACCTGTCTGGTCATGTAGCAGCTTTTTAGGAAAGTGGACTGTGCAGTGTGATTCTAAGTGCAGTCTTTATAAAGCCCAGTGCTCTGCTGGTAAATACAACCATTTTATAATGTGAAAAGCACAACACAATATGTTCCCTTAATATCGGGTAAAACTAATTTCAAGCCCTCCCCACTCTCTACTAACACCGATTGCCACCAAATAGATAAAATGCTCTCTCAACCACAAGACTACATATCAAGAGGGAAGATGCCTTATTTCCTGGACCTACCACAATGTACAGAAAATAACAGCGTCATAAAATCCTGCTCTATATTTCCTTCTACGGAATTCTTTCTGCTTGTGTCTACCTACTCAGTCTGTAGAATAAACAATTTCCTTTAGGAAGCACAAAAATAGGTTTCTTTAATTCTTATTTTTAATCATGCAGTTTTATTTCCTTTTAATCTCGTGTTCTATTAATCTCTATCTGTACAGCTTTGTCACTATCAATTTCTTCTTTTTATTTTCCCCACTTGAAGTAGTTCCAGAAAAAAAAAACACAAAACCTCGAAACTATTAACTTGAATTTATGGTTTGTTTTCTTCCTTCCTTCCTTCCTTTTCTCCTTCTTTCTTTCCTTTCTCCTTCTCTCCCTCCCTGCCACCTTCCTTCCTTCCTTTCTTTATCTTTCTTTTTTAAACACAGGTAAGACCTATAACAAATTGACAGTTACAACCAAGTTAAATCGAACCTGGAAGGGAGGTAACTGAAATCTGTCTCAAAGAATTATTTTCAACAAATAGCATTTAAGCAATGGCCAAGGTGGACTAAGACCAAGAGAACTGTCTAGGCAGTGGCTCAGCATGCTGAAGCCAAGAGTAGCAGCTGATACCCTCCATCTTCAAAGCCCTACTATTTATGACCATTAATCTCTCCCTTCCTTAACACCTCAATTTAGCCACCAAAATGGACTTTCCAAGGACTGTCTTCCCTTAAGGGATCATTGGCACAGATCCTAGCGGGTAATGCAAGTCCTCTGGGCAGGCAGCTAAGGTTGTGGCTTGGAAAGCCTTCCCAAGACAAGGCTTAGAGAACTGTCGACCTCATCTTTTCTTTCTTGCTGCTAAGAGGCTAATACTTTTTCAGACCCAGAACCCCCAAGTGTTTTAGGGCCCCTGAGCTGCTGCTGGACAACAGTGCTCCAGAGCTGCCTCTTTGTGGGTACTCTACTATCCTCAACAGGAGATGATCCAAGGGATGAGACAATGAGTTTATTCCCAAAAAGAAAGTGAAAAGGAGAATCAGTGCATTGCACGAATAGAGCTGACCCTCCTTCACTAAGTTTTGAGAAGGGTCTATTAATTACATCTTCCGTGGGCATGAGGCTGGCCATCAGTCAGGTAGCGTCTCTTGCCTAATATCCTTGGCAAATGTGAATTTGTCAGTAATAGGTTTGAATGATGGTAGGAAGGTGATTGGGTGGATCTTTGCACAGAAGAGCTCAACTCAATCTGTGAGTCTGAAGATAAAAGTCAGCCTCCAGGAAACTCTGCTCACCTGGAGAGTGTGAGGAGAGACAAGGGTGGGAGTGAAGGAAGATAGAGGATGAGGATCAATTTAAGGGAAGCTGATGAGGTTCCTCTGTGGTTCCTGCAACCCCACCATTAATAATGTCATCTTTGGGTCTTCAAGACTTTTTTTTCTACTTATTGGTGTAATAAAGTAAGTGAGAGGGCTGACACTGTTACCTTTCTTAGTTCATATCTTCTAAGCTAACACCACACAGGATGATAACTCAGCTAGGGTAAGAAGGGGGCTTTAAGAGTTGGCAAGAGTTCTAAGATACTGGAGAGGGCTACAAAGTGAGATCACTTCTTCTATCATTATTATTATTTTGCTAAGGATTGGCCCAGTATGTATAGAAAAAAAATGCTTTGAATATAAATGAGATATGAGTTTGTAAGGAGGAAACATAAAGGATTTGAGCCTGACCTTAACAATAGTGGCAGCCTCTCCATTCTGGAACCCAATCTCGGAGTTTGTAATATGGTACAAGCACACAAAACTTTCCAAGTACTGCATCCTTATTTGTGGACACCTGTGCAAAAAGCACCTTGATATATTTCTTAATGTAACAGACCACAGATGGCCAGTAGATGTTTTCTCAAGTGTTCTTGATCAGCAGGTAATTGCTGTTGGGAATGATATAGTAAGAAGGTTTCTGAAGTTATTTCTGGTCCCCATAGGACAAAGTGCTATGACTGATTAACAATGCCTGCCTCAGATACAGGAATGAGGAGGGTAGTAGGTCCACAAGCCTGGTATTTTCCATTCCTATGCTGGACTTTGTTTTTGTTGGTTGTCTTCACTAGACTTGAGATGACTTGATTTACAGCAACCTTTATGTGATACATCTAGTTTAGACCCTTCCCTTGCCTCACTTTCTCAGTTCCATGTCTCAGAAATTATGTCAGACTTAACCATCCTCTCCATCTCATTCTGTATTAATCTCTTTCCACATTAATCCAAAAGGAATAAATAGGTAACTGACTGAAAAGAGGGAAAGAAGACCCCAAAGAGGTGGGGGTTTCCACTTGCGTTTGACTAATTTCCTCTTAACTTTGAAGGCTGAACATGGGAGAGAGGGGAGGGTTGCCCAACCATGGGTGTGGATGGGAGTCTTGGTAGCTGGAAGATTATGTGCGAAACATGATGACTATCTTGGGTTGTTGGGGAATGAGGCTGTGAACTCTTTGGCTTCCCTCTGATGGTCCTCTAGAACACGGCCTAGATTGATCATATCCAAGATGAGTTTCTGTTCCAGAATAATAGCTACTCAGAGCAACAGTGAGGTCCTTGGGACCAAAGCGTGCTCTGGCCTGGAGGGCCAGGAAGGCTTGGATAAAGATAATAACTCAAGAGTCTCTACAATTCCAACAGTCTCTGGATGGCTCCAACATCATAGAAATTTAACACTGTTCCACTTGATTATAAAATCTAACACTGGCTTAGACATTCTGGACTCTCAGTGAAGGTTCCAGCATCTTAAGTCCCTCAACTCCTTTCCAGGATGAGAAGGCTACCCATGGGGAACTTAACTTCTCACCATGTGGGCCAATGAGGGTTTTTCTCTTGTAGAAGGGCTGAGAGGTGAGGAGCTGTGGAAAAATGTGGGTCATTTTTAAGGCAGACTGTTTGGTTGTGTGGGGTTTTTCCTAACCTAGTCCTACCATCTTGGGATACTCAATGTATAGGATAGAGCAGCAGGAAAAGTAGCAGCAAATGTGGTCCCAAGGCAAGGTTTGGGGAATGGGTGGGTTCTGGAGGGATATTATGGCCTCAAGCCTCAAACCTCAAGCAGGGGGCTGTTATAATACCTTGACATTGCAATTCTGAGCCATTTCCAGCTTGGCCTCAAACCCTGGAGTTGGGGTAAAATCCCCCATGGCAGCAGAAGAATTTGGGGGCTTTGCATACCTTGGATTCTTCACTTCTTTCTGGGTCCTACTTCCCTAGAAGGTAGCTGATCAGAGACCATTTCACTTCCAATCCCAAAGGACTGCACAATTGTGCATGACCTACATATTCCAAGCCTCAGGGTGTGAGCTATCTTGGCATCTCAACTCTTGGTCTTAGCAGTTTCTGCAACTCTCTTTCTCCCAAGGACACTGTTGCTAGGAGCTTGGGAAAGGAAAGATTGAGTTTGTTCCAGTCTCTCTCTGCTCAGTCTCCAAAACTGCCCTCACACAGATGTTTGTATGGGTGCGTATGCATGCATGTGTACTAACCACAGATGTGCACACTCCTAGATACAGAACATGTTTCTTGCTGTGGTCGTGTGACAAATGGTTAGAATTTTAGGAGGCTCTGGGACTGCATGCTGTATATGCAATCCATCTAAGACTTTGGGATGGGATTCCATTCCATCTTTCAACATGGCGAGACTTAGTTCATGCGCCCCCACTATGAGTCCTTCCTGGGTGAAATTAAAGGCAGACCGGTTGGGTGCTAAGGATCCCTGGTGTGGAGAGGCCATTCCGTTGAGCAGCTGACTGTGAAATCAATACCAAAGGGATGCGGGTCCTGGCGTTGGGAATTCTTTGACAACTCCTTGTCCTTCCTTAGCCATGGCTGTATCCCCGGAGGTCTTTCCGGCTGTGTTCTTGGGCCTGAGGGTCCCGACAAGCACAGTCACCTTGTAGGTCACAGGACATAGGGAAGGGGGTGACCTGCAGAGAGAAAGAAAGAAGAGGTGAGCCAGGTGCCTGGATATAAAGCAGTAATCTTCAGAGAGGCAGTGCAGAACAGAGGGACAATCAGTGGATTTAGGGGAAAGCAGATTCAAGTTCAAGTTATGGCTCGGCTTCTTGCTAGCTCTGTGATAACTTGTACCAAAATCACGTGGTCATTATTGTAGCAGCCTCCATTTTCAGGGGCACTTACTGTGGGTCAGGCAAGGTGCAAAACACTTTCCAAAGAGGAAAACACCACATCCTTTGACAAATCTGTAGCAGAGGTACTAAAACAATCACCCTTTTGCAGATGGGGAAACTGAGGCTCAGAAAGAGGCAGTCATATGTCCAAAGTAATAAGTGACAAATCTGGCATTTAAAGTTGGACAAGCTTCCTCTCCCTGAGCCGTAGGTTCTTACCTGTAGAACTCATAATAAGACCTTTCTTGCACTGTGAACTCTAAGGGCTGAGTGAAAAGTGTGATCCACTGTACCAGAATTGGCTTATTAACAATTCTACTGAATTGTACAATGGGATATCTAACTTGCAGGACTGTTGTGGTGATCAAGGGAGACAAAGGATGTGAAAGTGTCTTTTAAGACACTTTCTGCATATATTGGTAATTTTGATTTTAGGAGGCAATGATGAAAACAACAAAAGCAGGTCTCAGCAAGCCCAGACCACCTTCAAGGGGGCCTGAAATCCTGGTGGGGAACATTGCACATAGAGATTTTGCATAATAGTTGTTTGAAGGATCTTGGGAGCATATTTTAGGATAAGAAAAAGTAAGAGGCACACATGTGATGATTTGGTGTATGTATATATTATGAAAGCTGGGGAAAAAGGAAATAAAACTTAAAAAGTGAGAGGCCTGAGTTTTGGTTCCCAGTCCATCCCTTCACATCCTCTGTGACCTTTGGCCGTCTTTCCTTTCTAGAAACTGAGAGAAAGGGCCCAGCAGAGCGAATGTCTTCCCCATGCAGTGGATAATCTGTCTTTCCAAAGACCACAGCGCACTCTCTGCTTGAGCCCCAGCCTGGGCTCACGCAAGTGGATTTCACCTCATTGCATCATGACATTTGCATGTAACTTTCCCCAGAGGGTCCCCCATCTGCGCAGATGGATTTAATGACCTCATTTGCCTAGGCAGGGTCTCCAAGTGCTCACACAGTCTCAGAGAGCATCTTTGTCTTTCTAGCTTATGGATTCTTCTCTATATCTAACTCATTTTTTCTCTTTGCCTCTTTGCCCTCCCTCCCTCCCAACCTCTCTCTGTCCTGCAATGTTGCAATAATTTAAAATGTAGGAATAAACAGGCAGATTGAAATATAAGCCCCAGTTCTCTTACCTAATTGAGGTGTGACCTTGAGCAGGTAACAATTTCTCTGAGCCTCAGTTAACTCATTCTTTAAATGGGAATAATGAAAGCATACACCTCCTGAGGTTGTGATGAAGGATATGTGAACTAACTGATGAAAAACACCTAGCACACAGTGCATACGCTCAGTGCTCAGCTATAAATGTACATAGCCTCTTGTCTCTGACTCAGTGAGGCAGGGACTGGGTTGGTCTTGTTCATTCTTGTTTGCTCAGAGCTCAAGCCATAGAATGAATGAATGTTCATTTCTCCATGTCTCTCTGACTCTTCCATAGGACTTATGGCTAGCACATCTCTCTCTTTCTCCTTTCATTTTAAATTCATAGGTGCCTGATGGCCTGGTAAGCATCTCACAGCTCCTTCCAGGCAGTGCCTGTCTTTCTGCTTACAACTACTTGCTGTTCCCTTTCCAGGACATTTACTTCCCAGCCTCCATGCCTTTGTGGAGGCTGTGACTTCCAATCTAGAATATTCTTCTACAACCACTTCACTTCCAAGAGAAGCAGAGAATGTTAGAATTGAAAGAGACATAGAGAAAACCCTCCAGTTCAAATGGGGAAACTGAGGGCAGAGCCAAGTCTAAATCTAACAACTGATGTCAAATGGGGAGAGTAATGCCATGGGAGCCACAAGGCCTGAGTTGGCATCCTTATTCGCTTCTTACTCAATGAACAATTTTGGGGAAATCCCTTCATTGCCATGACCCTTAGTTTCTACATCCATAAAAGGGAGCTAAAAAAAAAAAAAAACACACCATATTTCATATGGTTGTGAGGATCAAACAAGAAGAAACTTGCAAAAGCCCAGCACATGGCTTAACACTAAGGAGATACTCAATGCTGAATACATGTGCGCTGAATCAAATTTCCCACCAGCTCATATTTCACCATCTGTGACACCTTTCCTGCTTATAGTCCCCTTTCTCCCACCTCCTTTTGGTAGCCTCTATGTCCTCAACTCACCCATCCCTTTATCTGTCAACTTCTCCCGTCCTCGCCCACATTTTAACATTAGAATGATTCAGTTACCTCTAATGTCTTCTGCACAATTCTCTGCATAACTCTTTCCTGTTGGGCTCTGTGACCCATTAGAGACCATTTAACAGCTGATTTATCACTCATGCCTCTTGTTGCACCTCGCGCAGGCAAACATTCAATGGATTCTCTCTCTTAAAATATGACCCAAGTCCTTACCATGAGTTCAAGGCTTTGCATGATCTGATCTCCACAGACCTCTTGTATTTCACCTGGTTTCCTTCTTCCCCTCACTCTCTGTGGCTTATTTATGTATTTATTGGTTCCTCAGATACTCCAAGAGTTTTAAGTCTTTAGCCACTAATGTTCCTCTACCCTCCTGCTCTTTCCTAGCCAGCTCCTCTTCATTCTTCAGTTCTTATCTCCAGTACCCTCTCCTTACTCATTGGCCTGACCAAAGATGGCACTATCATCTTAATCCCATATCACAGCATCTATTTGTCCACCCTTGTTAGACTGAACACTTCTGCACTTGTATGTCAGCTCAGTCTGGGCTGGGACCATGTCTGTTGTTGACCTGAGTCTCTATATACCACATAGGCATTCAATGAATCCACGAATGGAGGGACAAATGAAGTCATGAATATACGTGCAGAACACAAGTCAGGGAGTCTCTGCTCTTGCACTTACTTGCTGAATGACTTTATATAAGTTACTTCGCTTCTCTGGGCTTCGGTTTCCCTCTCTGTACATTAAGATTCAATTTTAATGGTCTCTACCTTCCCATCTGTCTGAAAACCCTTCTCAGTCTGAGAAGGCAATGCCCTGGCCAGAAAGGACCTGGAAATGTAGACTTTCTCCACAAACCCTGTCTTACACGTTCCCTCTTCTGCCATCCCCAGTTCTATCAGCTTCTCCGTAATCATCAGCTGGCAGGACCCTGTCTCCAGCTAATGTTTCAGGCTAGTCTGGCCACTCTGACTATGTGGGCGTGGTGTGACCATTCTCTTTCCTCCCTGGGTCAGCCTGGGCATTTCAGCATGTTCCCACAGTGTGTCTGGAAACTAAGGGAAGGAACCCCAATTAGAATATGACAAAGTCCAGAAGGGTTGGTCTCAGTAGGCAGATCTGGAGTCTCCTTGTCTCCACCACATGCCTGTAAATGCAGCTGCATGTACTGATCCCTCGCTAGGAGTTTGAGGGGCAGACAAGCCTTGGTTTAGGCATGGGCTCCATATGGGCACTGCATGACTTTCAGCAAGTCCTTGGCACCCTGAGGACGTCATCTCCCTACCTGTAAGACGACAGCCTTCATAAAGCCCTCACAGGGTTCTGGTGAGAAGTCAATGAAATATGTTGTCTCTGAACCAGCTCGCAGAGAGCTCAGTGCAGAGGACATGCACAGTGTCTTGTTCCCTCCTCCTGCCCTTCCTCTCCTCTTTGTGAGCTGCCTCTTCACAACCTGCCTAGGGCTCTCCTCTCATCTCAAGCCTCCTCCCTGATCAAGGGCCTACAGCTGGGAAGAGAACGGTGGCGATTGCCAGCTCCATCCACTTTCCCAGGTGTTCCTAAGTCTGACCTGGAAGAGACAGGGGAGGCCTGTTCACACAGGTTCACAGCAGTGAACACCACTTTACACGCACACTCCAGCACGTCCCGAGGGCCTTCCATGTGCCAAATAATTTCTACATGCTAGCTTATTGACTCCACACAAGCTTGTGAGGCTATCCTTATTAGCTACCCATCTTGAGGATAAGAAAATAGAGGCTTCAGAATGCTGAAAACGACACAGACTTGCCCCAGGCCTCACTACCAGTCAATAAGCAGGATTTTAAATCCCCCTCCTAACACTGAAGCTTTTCAGCAAGTGAAAGAAAGGGGAAGGTACTTTCTTTACCACCTGGCCAGGCTGACTGCTGCTTTGTCATTTTAATAGCCAATAGCCTTTTATCCCTTATTATGTGCCCTGCAGTGAGTTAACTCAATGTACATTATCTCACTCACTCTTCCCAGCAACCCTAATAAGGCAGCTATTCTTATTATCCCTGTTTTACATCTTAGAGGAAACTAAGATGCAAAGAGGTGAGTCACTGGCTGGCAGGTGGCCTGGGATTTGCATCCCTGTTTGTAACCACTACCCAGTACCGTCCCCAAGAGGCAGGAGGAGCAGGATTCAGGGTCTCCTTTTCACAGAGGAATAAACTGAGGCATGGAGAGAAGAATCACATCCTGATATAGTGAGCTCTGAGATGGATGATTCCCAGATTTCCTGACTCCCCAAGCAGCTCCCACCTTCTCCCCCACACGGCCTCCCAAGCAAACCTACCACCCACAGCACGAACGCCGTGGTGGCCAGTTTACATTTGGGATTCCCAGCACCATGTGGCTAGGCTGTCCCATAAATGGCTTGGCCACCCACTCTGGGATTCTGTCAACAAGCCCAGGTCAATGACTAAAGGCAAGGATTCACTCCTTTTTTTTCTCTGGGCTGGAGATGGTGCTCAGGCACAGGAGTTTCTCCCTCTGGGTGAGCTGCCCAAGCTAACACCTCCATCCATGTGTGTGAGCGGCTCAGGAATGCAGCCCAGGCAAGTGCACCGCAAGGCCCTGGCTGCAGTCTTGTCTGAGGCTGGGAGACAGGCAG